AACTTTGTCTCCTTAGGATAGTTTTCTTGGTTTTTCTTAATCTTGTAGACACCAGGGTATCAATTTTAGTTGGAAGACAGAACCTTGATGCTTCTCAGGATGTTAGCGAGTCCTTTTTCACATTCACCTCCAAAATTCCTTTCATCAGACCAATTGGAAAAAATCAATCTGACCAAAGGATGTGCTTTTTTCTCCCCGTCTCTCAAGACGAAGAGCGAACTGTTGGCTGTGCGTATTCTTTCCAGAAATCAAACTAAAATGATGCACAGGTTTCCTTTGTGTGAACTCTATCATCGTATCTGCTGCGGCCAACAATTCACCACTTATCGAGCGCTCCTCTCCCCTTGTTTTTCAGGTGCCCCATGAGTAAAACTTTTACGGCACCGCATCGACATCTACATGCTGCAATTGTAAAGCAATAATCCCTGCTGTATCTGCATAACTACAAGGTCAATTGTAATCAAACGAGGCCCTACCCCAACATGTCCGGAGATGCTAAAATTAAGGAGCATGACCTTCCTCCCTGGCACTTTTTCACACGCGAGAACCACATTCTTGCTTCCCTTGGCTCCAGAAGAGAGGTAGCATAGAGGTTCTGTCTACTTCTTTCAGGAATTTGAAGCCAGCGTGGGTCTGCCTAATGTCCCGGAGATGATTTTCGACGACAACATTGTAAGCCTCGCTTTATCAAGTAAGCGCAATACGCCACTCTACTTCTCTATCTCAATTGGTAGATTCACAGACGTCGACCAAAATTTTCTTTACTGCTCTGGAAGCGCTAAAGTTAGTAGACAAGAAAACGGTGTCTGTCGAAATTCCTGCGGCAAAGGAGTGGCGTGAAACTCACTTACAAAAGTACTCCGTTTTCCGGCCATTTGATTGGACTTATTCAACTGTCTACGCGGGAAGTATCTCTGGTAGGTGTTCTAGGCGAGACAAACTAAATGAGAGGTACCAGCTCTTCCATTATTTTCCTGATACATCTACTGTCTAGTTCCTAGTAGCTCTCTTGTAGTTGCCGTATCTGTTTTGACTTTTGACTGAGATAGATGTTTATCATGTTTCTCACGTAGGTTCATTCCGCGCATAATTTTTGAGTTACTCTTAAATGCATGATGATACAAAACCCTCACCCAGCGTTACCCCAAATAGCTGGCTATTGTGGCTACCAATACACCACCCTGCTCCATGGCTTTACGACAGAACTTAAACATTGCATCCAGCCCGTTGTTGGCTGGGCGAAAAAAAAACACTAGAATTGTCTTGTTGCCATTTAGGCAAACACAATGAAATTGTCATACTGGTCGTGGTCGGCGACCTCAGGGGCTGTATCAAACTTTGGAAAATAATCAATTCATCTGCCCGTCTGTCCCAACGATCAGATTTGGCATAGCTACACACCTAGACACGAGGCTAATCGTACACTGTAGTAGTCCTTGACGTCATTGAAGGACGGAAAAACGTTCGACGTGGATTGCACACTGGCGGAGATCCTCAAACCCTGTTCGACTGTAAGATTTTCTAGTCCACAGTTGGGAAACAGGAACAGTTTTCACAGATAATTGTTACCGTTACGCCAGTCCTCTGGGTGGGTGATAGATCGCTGCGTAGACAGCCCATTAACAGAAAAATAACTCCGCTGTGAAGATTGCTCAGTTATATGTCTGCAGAT